TTAATGTGTGAGTGACTGCACATCTATTTTCCATTTATTTTCCAGTTTGAGTGCTTATTATGAATATAATGTTTATTCATTTATTTATTTAGAATAATCAGGTGAAGGGTAACTGAAACGTATCTTACTGTGTCTCTATCCTAGAGCTCTTAATTTGTAGCTGATTGCTGTGATTTCTGGGGATTTATGTAACCATTCCTCAGCTGGACAGGGGAGGAAAAATAAAGTGGAAGGTTCATAGGTCAAGGTAAGGACAGAGAGAGATCGCTCACCAGTTACTGTCTCAGGCAGAACAGGCTTGGGAAATTGGCTTAGTTTATTACTAATCAAACCAGAACAGGATAATGAGAAATAATGAAGCTGCAGAGGAATCTGTGCCCTGGAGCACCTCCTCCCACTCCATCACTGACCTTGGTGTCTGCACAGCTGCTTCTCTCACGTTCTCCCACTCCTCTCTCGAGCTGCAGGTTGTTGCACAAATGTCCCCCCTTCTTAGCTCTGTTCTTCTAGAGATGGCTGGCACTGGGAACAGTGGGAGCTTCTCACAGCAGCCACCCCTGTTACTCTCCTGCTACCAAACCTAGCCACACAAACCCAGTACACACACATTGTGTTGTCTCATATTATCTAGAGTTTAAAAAAAATCCCTCATGTTTGTAACAGGTATTTGTAATTAAGTTTTCAGATAATAGCATTTGTGTAGGAGCAACAGGGTTTTTTTTGGTGTGTATAATACAAAGCTGTTCATCAGACATAAATTCTATATATTATATCTTTATCTTGGCATACATAGGATGTGACATTCGATATTCAACATACAGAACCTAACCTTTACTAGATTTTGTGCAGCTTGTGATTTAGTTATTTCAAAAGTAGTAACTGCATATTTATATTTAGATGCTTAGAAGAAAAGAATTGCCTCAATGTTTAAAGAATTATATTACCTTATAACAAAGTGAGTTTCTCAGTAGTTTTGAAAAACATAAAAAATTACTAATGTTTAAAAGTACTGTTTTCTTAACAAGTACTCCAGCCTTTTTATGAGGCCTTTGTTGAATATGTTAGTGGATTGTCCAACAAATCAATACAGTTCAAAGAACAAAAGCAAGCATTTTATACCTCACAGGTATTGCAAAATTATGTCCTTTGGTTAGGAGAGTATATTTGCAAAAGCCCCATGAAAGTAGCTTTTAGTAATGCTACACATCAAAATAACAGTTATGTAAAGATTATGTTAAAATACTCGGGTTTATTGTATTAATAATCTGAAAAATATATTAATAGTCTGAATTTTCAGTGGGTCTGGTGTTCAGTATTATATTACATGACAATCTGCAAATGTATATTCTGATGTATATTGCTAGACAGATAGAGGACTTAAACCAGAAATGTCTTGGTTCTAATTTGCAAAGGGTGAAATGAGGGAAGTGCAGAGTAGTGGAATGCAGCACGCTTGGACAATTAATTCAGAAAGTGTTAGAGCTTTTACTGTCTCCTTCTTTTAAAATACAATTTAATGGTACAAGAAGAACACTGAACTAGGAAATCAAATAAATGTTTTTTTGCTCATGAATATAGTAGCTCTGTTTTTAATCCTTGGAAAGAAAAAAAAAGGAGTTTGCCTTTAATGTACAGTCAAACAATTCAGCTGTGCTGCACAGCCCTGGGTGGCTGCAGGAGAACAGGCTCTGAGTTGTTTGCAGTGCTCCTGAACAAGAGCTGAGCCTGTGGGAAGCAATTCTCACCACACCTAGTGATGAAAGGTTTGGATTTCAGTGTGAAATTTGGCTCTTTCACCTGAAACTTAAATCATTATACATATTGTGGGGACGCGTGTCTGAATTTAGAATGTTTCTGTGCAAGACACCATTTGAGCACAGATATGTGACTAAATATATGTGAAGTCATTAAGGTGTCACTGTCCTCTGACACCAAGTCCAGTAGGTTTATGTTCCATATTCCACAGCAACAGATTTTTGAAGTATCTGCACTGATGAATGAAACCAGTATCTTTTGTCTAGAAAGGAAAAAAGTCTTCAGTCTACGCTTAATAAAACATCGTAGCCTAAAATTGATGTATTTCATCAAATTCACTTTTCACAACAATGAGGCAGTTTCTTTACATTTTTGAAAGACTGAAGCAACAGTGAATGATTCAGGAAGACCAGTCTGAACCATACTGGAAAGTGAAAATGACATGAAATTAAAATCTAAGACTAATTCCTTTAAAAGGAATAAGAGGGTTTATAGATTCACAGCAAAAGCAATGGTTCTGCATAAGAAACATGGCAAATCCCTCCACTCCTTCTGTAATCAACTTAAAGGAATTTTCCTGTCCCGTGGTTGTTCTACATGAGGAACAAAACCACGAGCAACTTAGTGTAAATGTTTTTGATTTTCAGAAACTTTTCAAGATGTTTGGGGGAAAAGGAAACGTTGCAGTTATTAAAAGTAAAATTGCTTTCTCACTGAGTTATTTATAAACATCAACAAAGATAACATGAGAATTATAGATGTGATATTAATGAATGATAGTAGCCATTTAAAATATTTGTATGCATATATAGTCACATTTTGCAGATTTTGGTAAATTACTGGGGAGATTTTAAACATTTCACTAACATATCCTACTGCTCATTTTTTATGACAAAATATTTAACTCTTTCAAGTTTCCCACCGTATTTCCTAAGGAATGTGAACATCTTTTTCAGTCACAGAGGAAAAAGAAAAGTTCATTTGTGTTCCTTGCTCTCCGTTTCCTCCTTGAAAACCTAGAAGGGAAGTGCTCTGTTCTGTTTTCTGAAGGAAATGTGATGGATGATCTGTCACAGGATATATGATAGCACAGGAAACCAAAGTACCAGCACAAACCCTCTCATGAATACATTTGTCTGTTTTGGCAGATGAATCTGTGAAAGTTCAGGTTGCAGACGTGCAGCTATTTCTCTGCTGCAATGAGCAGCAAAACCACTTACCTCAGAGGAAGAGTTTTGAACTGCTGCTGCTTAAGTCAGTATTAAAAGCTAATTTATTAAATATGCTTTTTACATGAGGCTTAACAAAGAGTGCTGATAACCACACTGGCACTGATCAGCAGCTGCCACTATCTTGTTTTTCAAAATACATCAGTCTTAACTCAGGAGTTTTGGATTCATTTTCAGTACAAGTCAGTGTGCATTTTCAGAAATATAACCCATGTCAAAGAAGCTACATCAACAATAATTTTGGTCACAAATTAATAAAAGACCATGAATATTATACTGAATGAGTAAAATTATACTTCTGATCCAGAGGAGGGCAATCTAGCCCTAAAACAAACTCCAAAACAAAAATATAGCAAAAAACCCAAACCAGGTTATAAAACCCCCATCAAAACAACAAACCAGAAGAGTTCCCTGCTCTCCTAAGATTGGCTATTTTTGTCTGACACACCAGCACTGATTTATACAGCAAAACATCTTTAGTTTTCCATAGTTTAGAGGAAAACAGCTTTGTTACAAGCCACTCTTTTTATGGGAGAAAGAAATAAGTATCAGGAATAAAGTTTTCCACCACTCTTCTTAAAGAAACTTTAGTGCTTATTATTGCAGCACTGAGATGAAACTGATTCAAACTGATACCAAAAACCCCCAGTGCTTTCTGAGGTATTTTTCTCTTTCCGAGCAACAACCCTGATGGCTGCTGGTCACCAGGTTAGACTGTGCTTTGTATTTAATTGGTATTGTCTGTCAAATCTTTAATTGTTATAAAAATCTCAGATATTTTTAGATTAATGAAGTAAAAATGGGGAAAGCATAAGGATAGTAAGAATGGCAAATGCATGAAATTATTACAAATTTGTTAATTCTTCATAAACTATCTTATTAGCTTGAAATATATTGAATGACTTGTTGCTAAAACTGAATTAAAATTCAAGTAACTTTTATTTTGTTTTATTTTCTTTTATTTTTCCTGTTCAGCTCTTGAATACTCACCCTATGGGTTATACTGAGGAAAAGAGTCTTTAATAAATATTTTAAAAACAGGAGTTAGAGAAAAGCTTCTCTAAAAATGTAAAATGTGATACTTGAACTAGTAAATCTATCCAAGTATTTGCAATTACTTGTTTGACATTTGCAAGGGCTGAAATGAAGAATGCCTTCACAATGCCTCAGGATCCAAGGATGATCCATTCCTCACCATGTCTGGTCTTGTCCCAAGAGATAAGTCAAACAGGTTCTCAAACTTCAATTTTATAACACAAAGGCCATTGTACTCCAGCCAGCACGGGGAGAAAGCTACTCACTGCAGCTCTGGATCTCAGTGACCAGGCTAAGAGAAAGAAATGCCCAGTCCAAGTCATTTCAAAATCACTGTAGAAGGAATGGATATTGCTAAATACTTGTGCTCTGTTCTGCCTGACACAACTGCATTCCCAGAAGCACGAGGATCATGGATTTGTGACTCAGTGTTCACCAACAGGTTTGAACCAGTAAAAATCCCGGTACTTGCACATTGTTAATGCTGCTGAGGGAAAGCCCCTCAGTTATGTCTCACTGGACATCTGGAACTTCTGTTGCTGTTAAGAACAGAGGAAGAAATGAAAATTGCACTGTCATGGTGCCTGCTGTTAATGCTCTTGCTGAAATGACCTGGGAAATATAAACCTTAGTTGGACTTATTCACAATGCGCTGTAGGTTTTGTATTTTAAATAAGGCCCCCCAGTGGACCTGTGATAACAATTTACCAACTTCTGCTAAGATAACCAAATTTTTCCTTAGCTTTCAGATACTGTGTGTCTTAGGTAGCTCACTCTTTTCAGGATATTAAAAACACCATGATTGGCTCTTGCTTGAGCATCTTGAGTTCTCCACAAGTCAAGCCCTGCATTTAAGTTTAAATGAAAATACTCAGTACTGGTTTCCTTACAACTTCGTATATTTTATTAACCAAAATACCATTTGAAGAGAAATAAATTACAGAAATTGAAATGCAATGGCCATGGCAATCTGTTTAATAAATTAAGACAAAATATTAAATATTTTTAAGAAATCAATACCAAAAAATCAAAATATTTCACTTTAAATTGTAATACGTTTTGTTCAGATCTATATTTATCCTTCTAAGAGAATCAGTATTTTGTCTTTGTTACTAATATGAGCCATTAGCTCAAGCCCCTGTTAAATTAAAGTTCAGTTGGAAAGTTCTGAAACATCAAACAAATTTGAACCAGAAGTAATTCTATAAAAAACAGAACAGATTTTAAACAAATTTCATTCTTCAACTTAAATTAAACATCACAATACCTCTATCACATTCTAAGTCAGGTGTCTGCCTTAGTCAGAGATGAACAAAGCATGAAAAGCAACAAAGATTTCTTTGTAACAGCAAATGCAGTGAACAAACCCAGTGATCACACACTTCTCTGCTTAAAGGGAAGCAAACTTGCTATCCTGAATTTGGATTACAATGAGTTAGTGTACAGACTATGAGCAAGTGTATCAAGCAGTGAACAATGGTGAGGGCAATCTCTGTGGTGGAGTCTCCAAAAGGTTTGAAGAATCGCAACATAGAAAGGGCTCAGTTCTGCAAAGTGAGTATTTCTTCTTCATCATCGTGTTGATACCATCAAAAAGAAAAAAGTACCTGTCCATTTGCAGCATTGCACTGCAGTCCAGTAAAACAACTCCTACAAAATATTATTTTAATGAGATATGAGCCTCAAATTGCTCAAAGATAAATTAATTCCTTATTTCCAGGTGCACTGTAGCCTCTGAACAAATATAAGAGGACAAAGTAATGTGAAAAATGTTATGGTTCTGTCTGAACATGTTTTATCCAGCAATACAAGTAACATGAATGTCATTAATATTTTCCCTTCTTCTGTGCTTGTTTGCCTGTGCATGTGACAAAGCTTTGTGCCACAGCTTTTACGTGTGTGCAGGTTTACAATCTTCCCCAAACAGAAAGCACACCAGGAAACTGTGGCAGTAACTGTGAGGGGTGTGCTGTGTGCTGGCACTGAAAAATACTTTTAACACAAATGTGGTTTACCTTAGAAAAAGCTACGGAAATTGTCTTTTTCAGTCTGTTATCTTAACACGAGTAAAACCTCCACTCATATGGACATAACCCAGCAACTTTCCAAATACTCCAGGCAGATGCTCTATAAATGGATAAATGCTTAAATGTGACCTAGGCAAGACTGAAAAGACTGGACATCTGCTCCCTAGGGAGAATCATGACACAGGATAATAAAATGCTGGCTACATCTAAGGAAGTACCTACCCCAAGTTTAGACAAAATCAAACTAAGCAGTACAATGATAGAATTATTTTTGTTTTTTACACTCACAAAGAATAAAAACAGAACATTCAGAAAGAAAGTAATTGAGAACAAGAGCGATTTCTCTAATGAGCAGCATGGATTTTAAAGTTGCCAGGATGTCTAAACTACTCCCAAGCAAGGCTAACTGGGACCTTACTGGGCTCCCCAAAGGACACCCCAGAGCAGCAGCAGCAGCACAGAACAGACGGCTCCCACCTCCCCCAGACCACAGAGCTCTGCCCCTCTCTGGGAAGCCGATGTCTGCATTGAGGCTGCTCGGATTTGCCATCTCTGTATCACCATAACCATCCTCCTGCTCCTCCTCCTCCTCGGCACCGGGAAAAGCCGGTGCTCATGAGTTACCCTTTGCTGCCCTCTGCCCTCCTCGGAGTCTGTTTCTCAGTGAAATGTGATTCTCTGCGCTTCCTGTGAGAGCCCCAGCAGCCGGAATCTCTCGGCTGGAGGAGTGGCAAAATAGGCTTTTTGCTCCTCCGAGTACCTTTCCTTCACTTCGATGATGTCCCTGTAGCGGCCGTCCTGCCAGTGGAAATTGAACTGCTCCAGCAGCTCAATCCTTTTCTCCTCCGTGCTCACACAGTCAACAGGGGTGGGCTGTTCCAGGAACGGCACCTGAATGTCTGGGAAGAGCAGGAGACCCCGGATAGCAAACCAGCCTCCATACTTGGGATGGATACAAACGCCAAAGATCTTCTGGAAGACAAAAAAAAAAAAAAAAGAAAAAAAATCTAGGTTGCCTCACTTTGTGTCTAATCAAGGTCAGAGTTCAAAGCATCAGATGCTTCTCACTCTCTCAGCCTTCTCTTGGAGTGGTATAAGAGCAGAAGGGAAAACTTTCCTGAATTTGTGGCTTGAAGCATTGCACTTCACTCCCATTTTCCTGTGCCCACACATACCTCTCTGGAATGTGGGGAGAGGCTCCTTTCTGAAAATCTATTACAGAAATTAACCACAGAGTATTTTCCCCCAGTTTGTAATATTCTAAGTAACAGGTTTTCCTTTACACTGCCATTTATTGTTCAGTCTAAGTAGGTTTAACAGATCAAGATATTTCTCTCTATGCACATCTCCTTACTCCTTTGAAGAATCTTGGAAGCTTCCACCTGAAACACTTTATGAACCTGTATGTGCTCTGGACTTTGTAGTTTCCTGTAAGATGCACTAGTGACTAGTGAGCAAACAATCATTGTACAATTAAGTGGTTGCAGTTCAGTGACTCCTAGACTTTATTTCTGCCTTACCTTTTTCCCCCAGGGATCAAGCTTCACATCCTTCCTTTGGTAGTAATATGCAGCTCCAGCAACATGGGCAGCTGTCTGTGCCAGGAACTTGGGCTTTCGGCTTGGCAGCATCTCATAATCAAACATGACATCCACCCTCTGGTCAGGGAATTTCTGCGAAAATTTGGAAACATCAGCCCAGGCTCTTGGAAAAAGCTTTGCCACTCCAGAACTGCTGGATGGCAACAAATCAAGCACGTGTGAAGCCTGCAGACTCTCACATCCTGCTGCTGAATTCTATCAGCAGGTTTGAGGCTGTGGGCATTCAACCTGTGCCAGCAGAGCTCCCTCACAGCTGCACGATGTAATCCAGAGGCAGAACATGCAAGTAAAGTAGCCAAAGCCTGTTGATGCTCCCACCTTCATGAATAATGCTTCACCCTTCCAAAGAGCAAGGCAGGAGCCTGCAGGGCTTTGTCTGCTGTTCAACCCACCTGGTTATGTGCCACAACACTAAAAGGAGTCAGTATTTCAGCTTCTTACCTCCTTCACACGTGATAAATGGTGGGAAACACACTGATCCACTGGATCCCTGATTATTTTTAGTCGTTCTTTGTTCACAAAAGGCTTAAGGGCTTTGTCAAACATCGAAGGTGTGCTGAGGACCACAAAGGCCAGTGTGTCATCGGGGTAGGGGAGGTGGAAAGCTGGCTGGAGAACAGCATTGTACCACCCAACCTTCGGCAAAGAAACACAAATTTCCATTAGAACACAGACACCACTGTAGTGGACATGCAGGAATGTAAAAAAGTGGAAATAACTGTAGCCCCCTTCATTTGCAATTCAGATATTCAACCTACCCAGGACCTTCCTTTCAAACGAAGTTGCTTTGCACACCAGGATTCACAGTTTGGGGGAGCTATGCTGTGAGCTGTGAGATAAGAATCACATACAGCATTCAGCCCCAGTCTGCCCTTTATCCAGTTCTGCTCAGAAACCTAGAGGGAAGTATGAGCAATCAGTCTTGCCAACGCAAATCAGATGGTTTGGTTCAGATAAAGCTTTTACAGGTTTGTTTGTTCTCTTATCTTGGGCCAGAAATAAACTGGTGCTTCTGTTTTGTGTGACAAGCTGCATGTTTTACTTCTGCAGGAAACACTTGTGTGGAATGAAGAATGTGAAGCTCTAAAACCCCCCAGAAACGTTACCAGTAGCCCGTGGATTATGACATATTTGGATATTTGATTCCAGGGCTGTGTAACACAGTCTAGTCCAGAAATGAGAGATAAGCCAGGGCAGCAGGAAGCATGACCAGGAGGACAGGGCTCAGACCTGCAACTGTGAAGAGCACAAGGAAATGCCCCAAATCCCAGTCTTAGTGCCCTGCACAATAACTTTGGTCTTTTCATAGGTTATGACAACTCCCGCTCTCCAGGGGTGCCACAAAGGTCAGGTCTAACAGTCAGAGATGTTGAGTAATGGAACATTAAGTTTTTAAACTAAACATACTGTTTATTCTAAATACTCAGTGAAATTACTCTGACAATGACTCTGCAGCTGGCACTGGCAGACAGACTGCCCATTTAGAAACAGAACAAAAACCAGATTCACTACAAAGTTTACATTCTTATATGAACCTCTAAACTTAATTAGTTTTGTGGCTCTTAAGGTGCTGAATTGAGATTACAAGGAATTATAGAGATGTGAAACTAAGCTTTGCTGGTTTCCCAGTGAGCATCAATCAGTGCACCAGGGTTGGCTGTGTCAGAATGAAATCTGGAGAGAACTACAGGGCTAAAAAGATTTCCCCCCTGGTAGCTAAAATCTTTTCATCTGGGTTCTGCCCCGAATTCTGCTTATGTGTTTTAGGCAAGCAGCATTAAACTTTTAAATTCTGGCGGCACTTCTGTCATTACTTCTCTCACCACCTCATTGCCTTGTACTTTTTCTGCAAACAAGATCATAGCAGGAAATAAACATATTTCAGGTGTCAGACACAACAGTCCCCAAGGGCAGGGCACGTTTATTGCGGATTCATTTGTATTTGATGTTGCAGATTATATTTACTGCAGATTGCCCTGGGGCGGGCAAGGAAGGAGCCCCTGCATTTACAGCTGAGCAGGGACAGTGGCAGAGGCTGCTGCCCCTTCCACGGGCAGAACAGAGGTCAGAGGCCATTTCGGAGCGGATGAGGTGCTCCCACACTTAGATTAAAATTTAAACTTGCCTAGAGGAATGTGCAGGCTGCTGGGGCAGGTGTGTCATTACGTAACTCGCTGACCCCGCCGGTCAGGGGCCCGCACCGAGGCCCGGAGCAGCTGCTGCCGCTGCGGTCACCTTGCCCCGCGCTCCCGGGCGGACGGACCGGACCCCGCGCTGTGCATGGACCCGCGCCGGCCGCAGCGGCTCCGCGGGCACCGGCCCGGGGCACCAGCCGGGGACAGCGACCCCCGGCACCCCCGGCACCCCCGGCCCCTGACGAGCCCCGGGACCCGCTCCCTGCCCCGCTCCCGCGGCGGTGACGTCGTTCCGATGACGCCGCGGTGACGTCATTACCTTGAAGGCGTGCGCCTCGAGGCCGAGCGGGCCCAGCGTGCTGCGGAGCCGCTCCGCCACGCGCTGCTCCGCCACGCGCCGCTCCATGGCGGCGGCGGCGGCGCGCGGGGCACCACGGGAACGGTAGTTCCGGCCCGGCGGGACCCCCCGCGAGCATCGCAGCGTCTCCTAGGAGACGGCGAAGTGCGCAAAGCATTCCGGGAGTCGTAGTGCGCGACGCACTCCCCTCCGCGCCGGCTCCCCCAGAGGGGACTCCATGTCCCAGCATGCTCCGCCAGCCCAGTCCAGCCGGGATCTCCTCGCCGTTCCCGGCCCTCTGCCCGTCCCCGTCACACCGCCCGGGATTAGGCGTATTTTCCTGTCCTCATACTCTGTGGGAAAGCCCCCCAACCTGTCCCTGTGGATGGGCGCTGCTCGCTGAAACAGTGAGGCCTCTGTGCTGGCATTCCTTTCTCCTTCCCCCTGTGAAAGTACACGTTCCTTGCAGATTCCATATTCTCTAAATGCACTTGCCATGCTGGAGACCGAGCCTCAGATTTGGATATCCTTACTCTAATCTTCATAGCTGCTTATCACAATCTTTATTGTACTTGTGCAATGCTCTCCAGCCTGTCGTCCTGGGGTTTATGAAGTTCAGGAATCAAATGTGCAAGTTCTTGTGGACAGAACTACCTCAGATATGCAAGTTTACTGCTTTATGGAGTTTCCTTGTATCTTCCAGTACCCCAAGAGTTCCTCCTTATTGTATCCATGCCTTCTGTATTGGAAGGGCAGAAAGATCCCATCAGTCATGTTTGTTATGGTTTGTTCTTTCCAGACCTCCCTGTATTTCCAGCATGTGAAGTGGAACCAGACCACTAACTATGTTCTTTCTTGAACTAAATTGTAAGTAATCCTCATACAAAATCTGTTTCTGCCCATCTGCTCATATCACTGACTATCTCAGTCTGTGAATTGACTAAAACAGGAGGAAGAGCTCCAGCAGGAGCAGAACCATAAGCTAGGAAGTAGTGAAAGTAAAGGCAGTGGCACCAAAGCACTGATAGCTACAGGAGCCTCTTACACAGATCACTTCTTGTCTAGGTTTCTGAAGTCCTGTTGAAGAAACAACAGGCTGAGTGTAGCCTGGCACAAGGTTGCTCCATCTCCCCACTCAACAAGTTAGCAGAAAGAGATGGATACAAGGCAGAAAGGGCTTTGCATCTTTGATGCTGGAAATAAGAGGGTTTTGCCTAAGTTAGTATGTTATATGTGCAGCTCCCTTCTTTTTCTCAGTTGTTCTGAGATTTCTTCTGAAGGGTTTAATGATGTTGGATCATCATGCTGGATGCTAATGGTGCTGGATCAGAGGTTGCCTCTGGAAAACACTGGGAAGTGGTCATCCCCTCTCTCTCAGGTGCTAGATCTGCTGAGCAGTCACAAAGTTCAGTCTAACGGAGCACAATCTTACAGTTTGTACAAACTCAGGATTAAAGTGTGGAGCACTTGAGAGACTGGGCCACATCAGGTGGAGGGGATGCCCCTTCAGGGAATTTGGGGATGCCCAGGCCCACATCTGCCACATATGCTGCAGGAGCAAGTGCAGCTCCTGGGTTTCAAGTGGAGCAGCTGCCTGGGAGCTGCAGGAATGTGTCACAGGAGGGTGCTGCTGGCTGGTGGCTGCTCAGAGCTCTGCAGGACAGCTCTTCCTGTGGAAATTTCTTCCACAGGCACTGGATTGGCAAGCTCAGAGATGCTGGGGACTGACCTTTCATCCTGCTGCTCTCTTCTGCCAGCTATCCTTTGTACCTGCCTGTGGAGCACAGTTCATTTCCATGTGTGGCTCCAGTGTTACTGATACAGAAGGTAACAGATCTGCCAGCTTTGTGAGGTAGGGTCTTCCGTTTAAATCCTGAACTGGCAAAGCTTGAGGCAGGTATGACATAAATGTCTGCCCTCTCCTGGAGCTGATCTCTGGCTAGGTGCAGGCAGGGTGTTCAGTCTTTCTGAGGTAGCTCATGAAGGGGGTGACCCACAGGGAAGGGGTGACATCACTGGGCCTGCCAGAGTTCATTTGGACAATGCACAGGTGATTTTTGGGGTTGTCCTATGCAGAGCCAGGAGTCAATCCTTGTGGGTCCCTTCCAAGACAGGATGTTCTCTGATTCTAAATGGCAGCTTCTGCTACTGAGACGTTTGTATCCTGAGGGTTGGCATCATCTGCTCATTCCACGTGGGCGTGGAGAACGGGTACCTGCTGTTCCCTTCACAGCTGTCCTTGGAGCTGTTCCCTGAGCCACCTCATCTGCCTTGTTTAATCAGGAGTGTTGCTGTCTCCTACCCAGGCCCTCTGTCAGGGCAGTCTCCTCGTTGCTATTTGGACAATACTTTCCTCACATTTTACTGCAATGACTGAAATAATTGGTGCTATTAAGAAGGGGTGCTCATTTGAAATGCCTGAGCTCTAATTGCTTCCCAGTTCCCCCATCTCTCACATTCCTTTCTCCCCAAGCTCAGCTGCTGGGAGCTCTCCCCCACCCCTACCATGGGCTCTGACCTGCTCCCTGGAGAGACATGAGTGACATCTCAGCTTCCTTGTTGAAGATCCTTAGATCTTTTTGGCTCTGTTTCCTTATACCCTCTGTCCAGCCCCAGCTGCCCTCGGACAGCTGCCAGATGTCTGAACTGTCACAGGTCTGACTGAGAATTCATGTCACTGTTTCCAGCATTCTCTCCCCACAACAGCTTTGTGCTACAGTAAAACATCCAGAGCATCTAGAGAATATGGTTCACTTCCCTGGGGGAAGGCAGCAGTATGTCTGTGAGGTGTCTGTGTCCCAGGTATGGCTTTGTGGTTCTTTCTATTATTAGGAAAAACAGCACTCTCATTCATCCTCCTCAGACTAATGCTGATACCACCTGGGACACAGTGTCATCTGGTGTCATCATGAAGCATTTCTACAAAAAAGGATCATTAGTTCTCATTGTTCTCCTCAACAGTAAATGACAAAGACATAATGTACTGATTGTAACAGAAGGGATTTTCCTTCTGCTTTCCATCCACAGCTCTTGAAACCTTTTTCTGATTCTGGTAAAGAACAATTGCTCTGCATTAGGTAGGAACCTGATGTGTGAGAGAGAGATTCACACAAATTATTTGGACAATCAGGGCAATTTGATAACTGAAATGGAGTTAAAGGACATCTTAATTCCTTGTCTGTTTTCCTGATCTTTCTAGCTCTTGACCACAAGTATATAAATGTCTGTTTTTATTAGTGGGAAAGGATTGGTGAGCACTGAGTCTGGAGGTTAATGTAGATTCATTATTAGGTTTTTTTTATAAAAAATATTGTATCAACTTGATGAGATGTTTTCAATAATGAAACTTCATTGCAGTTCTCTTATAATTAAATATTGATTCCCTATTTCTTTCTCTAGAAGCCTAATGCCTTCCCTTTTATGTCACTATCCCACCTGTTAAACTCTGACTTCATGAGATGTTGTCTGTGCTGTCAACATCAGCTTAAAATGTTTCAATCTCTCTGCATTTTCCTGCCCTGGCCTCACAGCACATTGCCTCCCAAATTTCTGCTGCTGCAGTTGTTGATGTGCTGTAAATCCGATCAGGGAGCCGAGCTGGTTCTAACAAGTGCGTCATTGTTTGCGCTTTTTTGTTGGCTTTTTTTTCCCCCCTGAAGTGGTGTGGTTCACAGTGCTGCTGCAGGAAAAAATTGTGCTGGCACAACTGAGAGAACAATTTGATCAGGGCTAGGTGGGGAGGCAGAGGTTCTGCTGCCATTCATCTCTGAAAACACAACTGAATTGCTCAGCAGAGCTGCCTTCTGCTGCATGAGGCATGACTGCTGGAAACCCCATCAAAGTGATGCCCACCCCATCCTCACCCCCAGTAACTGTTCCAGCAGGCATTGCTAAGCGTAAGGGACTGTCAGTGTTATCCTTCAATCAGATCTACAGTCTCTGATCTGAAAGATCAAGTGAAAAATCTCTTCTGGAAGGAAGTAAAATCCATGGCACCTGCAGGGAAAGAAGAGATCATAGGAATGATCTTACTCCAATGTACTAACAGTCTGGGATATGGTTTTCCAGCCTCTGCGTTAGAGATCTCGTGGTCAGCTCAGGTGTCCTGTTGTCCCTTTCCAACACAACCTGTCCCCTGTATGGGAAGGGGTTGGCATTGTGATCATGGCTTGGAGCAGAAATGAGGTGGCTGATTCCTCGTGATTTAAACCTGAATGATGTGGAGCTGGCTGGAGCTGCTGGTGCCACAGGCAGGTGAAGTCCAATGCCTGAACATTTTTGCCAATATATTTTCTTGCCTGTCATGGAACCTGTTTTCTGCTGCCTTGTGCCACTGCTTTTACCCATGTAAGAATAAAAAAATGCTATTAAATCTGAATAACAGCAATTTCTCCATATGTAACGGGTGTCACAAACAGTAGACAGAGGATACCTAGACTCAGTAAGTCTATCCTTGAACTTTTCTCCCCATCTGTTGCTTTTTTCATTTCTTTTAGAGAGAAGCAAGAACTTGCTGAGAGAGGCAGAGTAGTTTTCTCCATCTTTGGCTGAGGTTCCCACCCCAGACACTTCAGCTCTGATGAGCTTTCCAGTGGCATGGAGATTGAGGTGCCTGAAGGTAAATGTGGCTGGATTCTGCACCTCAGGATCTTAAGAACCTGGAAGGGTTTTCTGCTGTGATGTGGATGACAAAGCTCTACTGTTCCAGAGGTCATACAGATGAGAGGCTCTTGCTGGGCCCAGTTTTACTGGCAGGGCTGAGTATTAGGAGCCTAAAGGCAGGAAGACAGTACAGTTTGGAGTAGTGGTCTAGCACTTGGGCCAGATTTAAAACTTAGTTCTGAGAGCAGTATTGCTATGCCAGGACAGAAATAACATGTGTGTGCCTGTCTGTTCTTTCATCCTCCCTCCCCATGTAGTGTCAGGGTAATGAAAAGCTGCATGTGAGGGCCAATTATGATACTTATCGCTTCCTCTGACAGTGCCAAGATTTTTAATGTGGCTCCATTTTTGTTTTGGTGCTGACACACAGCCAGTGAGAAGGTGAAAATTGCTCACTTCAAGAAGGT